ACTCACCTTCTGTAAACTAGACTCAAAAGCTTTCTTTAAAAGAGCCTTTACTTAACTGGTTCCATTCTTTACCCCTCTGCTCCACTGTATTTATTACCACCATCTCCTCTGCATATTCTCATTGTGTTTACCTTCTGTATTTTTTATTGGTTATTTTTAATTGTTGTTGTTGTTGTTGTTGTTGTTGTTGTCATTCTGTAAAGCGCTTTGAGAAGCCACCTATAAAGGTGCTATATAAAATAGTTTATTATTATTATTACGCTTCAGGTTGCGGATCCAGCCCTCCAGCCCCCCTCCTACACACCCCAGCAACCACCTTTTCAGGCAGCCCAACCAGAGCCCTCCTCCCGGAAGCACAGCCATGATGCAGGGGCATGGTGAGAATCGCTCTGTGTTTCTGTATTTCCTTTTGTCAGAGTCATAGGCATTGGCACTTGGCCCTGGTTAGGGTCCACAGTATGCAAACATGCAGGTGTGGGAGCACACTGGTTTCTGCAGCTCTATTTGGGTACCCTTTTCTTAGGCCACAGCAATGAAAATATAAATAGGGTAAAGGTTTAAAATAGGGAGATATTTCATGTGTTTTACTGGCACCCTTATAATAGCAATTGTTTGAATGAGGTCCTAAGGAGTGGTCCTACTAAAGTGCTCACTTTGTGGGAATCCCACTGAATCGACATATCCAGAGGTCGAAACAGACCTGGCCTGCACTTAAATGGGTTTGTGCTTCCACAGTGGTGTTGCAGCGTGGATCTAGTTTTGTTTTTGAGAAACTGTTTGGCTCTGTGACTTTAAAGGGGAGTTGCAGTCCCAATTTCTCTGTCCTGCTGTTAAAACTCCTTAACAAAATGAATTGATTGACAGTTTAGCAAAAATTTACAACTTCTGAATCAAGCATGAAATCAAAAACCGTGTGAAAGTACTGAATAATAGTGTTTGCAAACCCCTGGGCTCATCATGGGGAGTTCCCATGAATTAATGTGAAGTGTCCCTTCCTGTTCACTAGTCACTGTAATGACCAATGTAATACAATGTATGAGGGAATAAGGACAGGTTGTGCAGCTGACATTTCACTGCAGAACTATTCTGTAGATTCTCCAGTGGTCCAGATTTCAACCCACCCAAGCAGTAGAACTAATAATAATTACTTACACATTGCTATCCTGGAAACTCCACTCAAAGCACTTTACAGGTAATGGGACTCCCCTCCACCACCACCAATGTGCAGTCTTCACCTGGTGATGTGACGGCAGCCATAGTGCGCCAGTTAGCTCACAACACATCAGCTCTCAGTGTGGAGGAGAGCAGAGTGATGAAACCAGTTCAGAGATGGGGATTATTAGGAGGCTATAATTGGTAAAGGCTGGGGGTGGGGGGGTTGGCTAGGATACTGGGGTAACACCCCCTATTCTTTTCAAGAAATGTCCTGGAATTTTTAATGAGCACAGAGAGCCAGGACCTCATTTTAATGTCTCATTCGAAGGATGGCACCTTTTTACAGTATAGTTCATGATCACTAAGCCGGGGCGATCAGACCCACACAAAAAGCAAGGTGAGCGCCCTCTAGTTTTACCACTGACACCTCTTCCAGCAGCAACCTTTGCTTTCCCAGGAGGTTTCCCCATCCAGGTACTGACCAGGCTCACACCTGCAGAGCTTCAGTGGGCTGCCAGTTGTGGGTTGCAGGGAGATATACAGTGCCTTCAGAAAGTATTCAAACCCCTCTTCTTTTTCCACACTTTGTTGTGTTATAGACGTTCAAAATTGATTGAATTGATTCCCTTTTGCCATCAATGGACACACAATACCCCCTAATGACAAAGTGAAAACAAATGGAGCTCAGATGCATCCTATTTCTTTTGATCATCTTTGAGATGTTTCTAGAACTTGATTGTCGTCCACCTGTGGCAAATTCACTTGATTGGACATGAAAGGCACACACCTGTCTTTATAAGGTCCCACAGTTCACAGTGCAAGGCAGAGTAAAACCCAAGCCATGAAGTCCAAGGAACTCTCCGTAGACCTCCAAGGTAGGATTATGTCAATGCATAGATCTGGAAAAGGGTACAAACATTTGGGAATACATTGAAGGTTCCCAGGAGCACAGTGGCCTCCATCATTGTCAAATGGAAGAAGTTTGGAACCACCAAGACTCTTCCTAGAGCTGGCTGTCCGGCCAAATGGGGTATTGGTCAGGGAGGTGACCAAGAACCCAATGGCTTCTCTAACAGAGCTTCAGAGTTCTTGTATAAAGGTGGGAGAACCTGCCGGAAGGACAACCATCTCTGCAGCCCTCCATCAGTCAGGTCTCTATGGTGGCTAGATGGAAGCCACTCCTGAGTAAAAGGCATATGATAGCCCACCTGGAGTTTGCCAAATGGCACTTAAAGGACTTTGAGAACATTGAGGAAAAAAAGATTCTCTGGTCTTATGAGACAAAAATTGAACTCTTTGGCCTGAATACCAAATGCCATGTCGGGTGAAAGCCAGGTATCGCACATCACCTGGCTAATTCCATCCCTATGGTGAAACATGGTGGTGTGAACATCATGACATGGGGATACTTCTCAGCAGCGGGGACTGGGAAACTAGTCAGGATTGAGGGAAAGATGAACAGAGCCAAATACAGAGAGGTTCTTGAACAAAACCTGCTCCAGAGTGCACAGAACCGTGGACTAGGGCGAAGATTCACCTTTCAGCATGACAATGATCTGAAACATACAGCCAAGACAACGCTGGAGTGGCTTCGGAACAAGTCTCTGAATGTCCTTGAGTGGCCCCGCCAAAGCCCGGACTTGAACCCCATAGAAAATCTATGTGGAAAGACCTGAAGATTTCAGTTTACCGATGCTCCCCATCCAATCTGACAGAGCTTGAGAGGATCTGCAAGAAAGGATGGGAGTAACTGCCCAAATCCAGGTGTGCTACGCTGGAAGAAACATACACAAGAAGACTCACAGCTGTAATCGCCGCCAAAGGTGCTCCTACAAAGTACTGAATAAAGGGTCTGAATACTTATGTCAATGGGAGATTTCAGTTTTTTAATTTTAATAAATTTGCAAAAATTCCTTAAAACGTGTTTCACTTTGTCATCAATGAGGCATTGTGTGTCTATTGATGGCAAAAAAGAATCAGCTCAATCCATTTTGAAATAAGTCTACAACACAACAAAGTGTAGTTGTGTCTGAAGTAGAGGGGTCTGAATACTTTCTGAAGGCACTGTAGCTGCTGGTTCTCTCGCTCTTGCTTTTTAACCCCATCCCTCTCGCTGCAGGTGGTCCCTCCTCAGTGCAATACCAGCATGGTGCAGCTCTGTACCAGCCACCAAGTGGTAGCCCTCCTCCACCCGGACTATCCCGCGTTGGACTCTCCCAGCAGCAGCCTGGCCTTCCCCGGAGCGTAGGCATGACCCAAGGCCTGCCTCCACAGCAGGTGACCATTCAGGTGCAGGAGGCGGAGCTGGGGAGTGGAGCACAGCGGCAGAGCTTCCTGTCTACACCGTGTGGCCATCGAGTGTTGGGGAAACAGCTGAGCGCCGACAGTGCGGAGACACACAGGTACAC